AAATTTACTGAACTATAAATAAAAGTCTTAGTTGGGTTTTAGCGCTATTGGATGGTTTGGGTTTTTTTCCTTCATTTTCCTTAATGAGGAGGATTTGTATTTTTCAGTATACGAGTACTGGAAAATCTATCTACCCACTTGATTAATTACCCACTTAATAAATTACTCTTTCTGCCATACTGAAAATTTGTTAAATGGAAAAACTTCAAGGACCCACCACCACCATACACACAGGCATAAGGCAGGAGGCAGTGTAGCATACCAAGCAGCTGTTTCTGATGTCACATTGCTTAGGGTTAAAAGTCATGATTTTGTTACCTGCCAGCTGGAAAACCTTGAACAAACTGATTTTGGGGGGCTTCAGTTTCCTCATGTATTTATTGCATGGGGGGGGGTCACTGTGAGATTAAACATTTTCTGTGTGAAGTGTTTCTGAGAGTATGTGGTTTATAGCAAACACTCAGATTAACACTGGCTACTGGCAGCAGTAGTTGAAAATAGAATAGCTGTTAAATTCCTTGTGTTTGCAGAAAGGAAAAGCGATAATCCAAATTCAATGAGAGTCACTGGGCTTGGTAAATGGAACTTGTCAGTTAAACATCACAGGACACATCTGCCTGGCAGGTGACTCAAGCTCCACTTAGCTTGGCCCTCAATTTAATCACATGTCTCTTGTCCACATGTGAACATGTTCTCGAAGCTCTCTGACACAAAGCAAGAGTTTCAAAGCCCTGAGGGCCTGGTTCTGTTTCTCTAAATGTCTGGGCTTATTTTCTAAAATAGGTTTTGCAGGCCAAATATTTCCCAGAAACCTAAATGACAGAATGGAGACAGAGAATGAGGAGACATGCAGTTATGTCTTGGCTTTATGACAAATGCGACCAGCTGCCTTTCAGTCAGTCAAATTTTGAGCCATTTGTTCCTTCAAACATTAAATGGGAGGAACTGTTTGCTTTCTTATTTCAAAGATGGTGTGAGAGATACACAACTTGTCAATCTGAGGGAAGGATATTGGTTTCTAGTGCTTCGGACTCATATCATAATAAATCAGAAAATACCTGTCTTATCACCCTCCCATCTACTTTCTCCTGCTGATTCCTATTATCATGTAATTAATTCCTAACAAGATGGACTTTGTTTCGCAGTATTTTTTGGGGGGGGTACCGGGGATCGAACTCAGGACCTTGCACTTTCAAGGCAGGTGCCAGAACCACTGAGCTAAATCCCCGGCCCTAATAAGATGGACTTTGAATGTGAATAAAATTAAATTTGTGTGAAGAAAAGGTATCAAAACAGTACCCATCACTTAGTACTGTTAAGAGCATGTGATGGTTAATTTCATATTATCATCTTGACTGGACCACTGGGTCCCCAGATATTTGGTCAAACACTATTCTGGGTATTTCTGTGAGGATGATTTTGGAGGAGGTTAATATTTAAACTGGCAGGTGTAAAGCAGATGGCATTCCTAATGTGGGTAGGCCTTGTTCAATTGGTTGAAGGCCTGAGTAGAACAAAAGTGCTTTCTCTGAAGTGAGAGAGAATTCTGCCTGACAACCTGCAGGCTAGAACTCTGGCTCTTCCGGTCAGTTTTGGACTCAAACTGGGGCATCAGCACTGTAGATTTTGGACTTGCCAGCCATAATTGTGTGAACCAATTCCTTATCAAAGTGCATATATATCTCTACATATTTATATCTCTATCTATGTATGTTCACATCTCTCTCCATACTTCTCTCTCCTGTTGTTTCTGTTTCCCTGGAAAAATTTAGTAGAGATCAATACCATTATTATGCTGAAATTCTGCAGATAAAACTAGAGAGAATTCAGATCATGTCTAAAAACTAAAGGAAACCAGGATCTTTCTGACAAAAAAAAATCCCCTCATATATAGATATAGTCTCATATATAGATATAGTCTCTGGTATTTATGGCTGAATCAAAAATACACACAGAGCTCTTTCCAACATAGATCATTTTCTAGTGACTTTCTACCTATTCCAATCTGCAGCTTTGTGACTATTTGCCTGTAACAGATGAGTCACTGACACAGTGAGCCAAGGTGGAGGAGAAAAGGCACTGAGGTTTCTTTCTTTGGGAGATCTGCTCACTGGATTTACAGAATCCCACGGAAAGTTTTACCTCCTCTAACCATGGCCCTAAATCATGTCGAATGCAACCCACTGCCTACAAAAGGATAATGACCAGCAAGGAAAGCCTCATGCAGGATGGGGGAGTGCCCTGAAGAATCACGCTAATCTGAAGGTAACAGGAAAAAAACGAGGAAACCAATTATACCTTAGCAGTCCTACCGAGAGTGACTCATTTGGGCTCTTTAGAAGTGGCTAAGAGCAAGGGACCATTTACTGCTGAGGGGCCTTCCCTGCCTCATGGTCTCTTCCCTGTTTATTTAGTCACAAAGCTGGAGGAGGAGTCGCTGTTCCACAGCACTGTTCTCAGCCCTTCTTGGGGTTTCTCAGAACACTCTACAGGGAATTCTTAGGTTTTCTTTTTGGTCAAAGACCAGATGAATAGCAGGGGACGTCTCGCCTTAAATATAGAAACATCTGTACGGAAGAACTACTATAATATCCATTTCTAAACAGTTTTACCAAAAAGACAGCATCCAAATGATAGGACTTGATTATTTTTAGTGTGATTGCATTTCCATTCAGGTAAGTTTCTCCTTCTCCTTCTTCTTTTTTAGAAGTGGCAAAGTTTATTTGAAAAAAATAAAAGTTAAGAGTGAGGGAGAAACTGGCTCTGCAGAGTGAACTTGAGCCAAGTGGAAGATGAAAAAGTAAGATAAAAGCACACCCTAGAGGAAGTGGGGTGAGCTCTTAGGAGGAAAGCTACCATAGCATCTTCTTCCTCATTTTAACTGCTTTCCTTTTCTTTATCTCTAGGCGCATAGAGGGAATTATTATGTATTAATTAAACATAGTCATTTCCTTCCTTAGTGAGTTTCAGGCCTATAAGGTGCACCATTTGGGAGAGAAACCCAGAAGGGCTGGCAGGGTAGCCTCCACAATGTTCAAAAAGGCAGATAGATCTTGAGCCAGCGAACTGGAAGAGAAAGCACATTCAGTTTTTAAAATGGTCACATCTCTCAGCAGTATCTGCAGTGTTACATTACGTACTGAAGTGGGCATATGGATCTAAGGAATTGGTAGTTGTAAATTAACAGATAAACAGAATATTTACGGTCCTCTAAAAAAGAAGTTATTTAAAAAATAAAGGTCTCCACAATACTCCTGAACTACTGGTATAAAACAGCACTTTAACTAACTCACATTATTAAAGGCCAGTACCTACTAACTACCCTGAAAGAAGACCTGGTTCCTATTTGTGATTCTGCAGGGGCTCAAACCAGTGGATGAAAACCAATTTTCTTTTCACATAAATAGAATTTGTTACTGCACTATTATCTTCAGGACCACTGTAATCAGAACCCTACCTGAAAATAGTAATACAGAAGAAAACATCAAGGTCTTAAAAAACTAGGCAAGCTATACAAACTGGCATTTAAAAGAAAGACCTAACCACTGAAGGCCCTCTTCTGATATGTGGCTTCTGGCCTCTTTCTTCAGAGTGGTTTTCAAAACTTGTGTGTATCATAACAACCTGCACAGCTAACAGAACCTATAGAAGCCCAGGATCCTTTACATAAGAAAGGCCTGGCTCTCTATGTCTTTACCAAGCTCTCCAGCAATAGTTTCCAAACACTGTTGATCACAATCACCCCTGATGCTTTGAAAATAACACATTCCTAGGCCTCACCCCTCAAAGTTTTGATTCAGTGGGTTTAAGGCGGGGACCAACAAAACCCTTAAAGCATTAAATACATTTTAAAACAAACTTTCTAAGTAGTTTTGATGAGCTAGATTTGGGAACTTAGGACACTTATTTAAGGTCTATCAAAGAACTCTGCCTCTGAATTCACTAAGAATATTCAAAAACTTGAGTAGTTTGTAAATCATCATCCTGGGGAGAATTTTACAAATTAAACTGTCTAAAGTGATTTATTACTAAAAACCCTAATTTGGCACTTAAATTATTTAGCAATTTTTTGTCTATCTACTTTCCGCCCCCAGGCCATACACAATATTTGTTTTGTATGGCTGTTAACTGCTAGCTATCCAGGGTTCCCAAAGCCACTCTGCTGGATTCTATTAACCTCCTCCCTTCCTTCCACTCTGATTCCCAAACTGTGAAAAACAGACCTATTTCAGAGCACCAAGCCATCTGATATGTTTATAGATAGATGAGCTAGGTAGAAGTATTAGAGGCAGTCAGATAGGGCCAAGTCCTCAAGAGGGCCAGGACAAAAATGAAACACACCACAGCTACACATCGGCTGGAAACCAGGCCTCAAGATGGAGACGAGATGACCAGACCCACGGACTTCTTCAAAGAACTGGAAGAACTGGAAGACTTAGTGAAGTCTAGACAGGCATCGACCACTCTGGGGTGACCAGAGGCCTCTGGACCCACTGCCCCCAGGAGAATCCTTGTTCTTTCCATCCACACTTGGTATGTGACTCGCTTCCCAACTGGACACCATTCCCTAAGTGACTGCACCTGTAACCTTATTGGGTGTTCATGGCTGTGGCCCACGTTGTACCCACGTGAGTTTCACCCTCTAAAACTCCTCTGTAAAGTGGGGTCCTTGGGCCGCCCACTTGGGACCCCTCCTGCCCCTCAGGAGCTCTCCTATCCATAAATATCTTCCTGCTTTTAACCTCCATCGTTCCTAGGACTCATTCTTTGATTTCTAGAGAACAAGAACTTGGTGTCTCATACAGTTAACAGGTTGGGAGATGTCATATTTCATATTTCCTATTTCCCGTGACAATATCACTTGGAGCACTGTGCATCAAGACATCAACCCAGAATCCCCAAGTTCCTGCTGCTGCCCTATCAGAGGGGAGATACTAAAAAAATCTAACATGAGGATTAATTTCTCGCTGGAAAGAAATGCTCTCATCACACAAGACAGGTAGTTTAAAAACTTGACAATTCTTGAAGTCAAAACAAGAAAAAGTTTATCATGACTAAAAGTTCCAAATGTGACTAAATGCAATGACTACTGGTTTACCAGCAGTAACCCAAAGCCCACAGATGTCCCTTCTATTTCTGCATCCCAGAATCATGTTTAATTTCCAAGTCCACAATGGAAAGAGTCTGAAAGCACTGGCCTGTGAGGATTTTGGAAAAAGACATCTGATCTCATTTTCCTGAAGTCATATTATCATACATCAAATGCAAAAGTAAGCTTACAAGTAGGTGAGAATTACAATTTTTAAAACAGATGCTGAATTCTAATCCTTCCCAAGAAATTCTAGATCACAAATAAGGATGAGATGCTCTTTCTTATATAAAGGCATTAACTGGGCCACAGGAGGCGGTAACAAGTCAGAGCCAACAGCCAGGAGATGCAGGAATGCCCAGCTGTCTAAGTCACAATGGACCCCCTCACCGGACAGGACAGCAGGCAGGAAACAGTTCAAATGTTCTTTTTTTTTTTTGTACAGGGAATTGAACTCAGGACCTTGCACTTGCGAGGCAGGTGGCAGAACCACCGAGCTAAATCCTCAGCCCCAGTTCAAATGTTCTTAATGAAATTGCTTGGTGAGAGATGGAAAGACCTCCTAGAACAGGGATGGAAAACAAGCCAAAGGCTACTAGCAGCAGGACCAGCTGGAGGAGGACTTGGCCTGCAGATTTATGTAGTTTCCTTGGGTGGACAAAGATATGACATCTTCTCTGCAATTGCTCATCATCTTTTCAACAAGGACTCTAAAAAAAAAAAAAAAAAGAAAACTCAGGCTGAGAAGCTGGATAGAGGAAAAGGAGAAATGGCAGACACTGTGTTATCACTAGACAGCATTCAATAAAGTCACAAGGTTTAAGTACCTCTTGTCCCCGGTTATCTTAGACAGAAGACAGCAGGCCTAAAATTCAGGAGCTGATATTACAGTGGTTTAGTCCATTCTTGTTTGTTCAGAAACAAGAAAAGATGGTCTGTGGGGACACGGTGGAAGACGGATAAACCAGATCAGTATGAGCTACTCACCTCATGGCTTCATTGATATTTTTGTTCTCCTTAACTGATGTTTCTGTCCAGCCTGCGAAACCGTTCTCTTTACTGAACCGGTCAATCTGGTCCCGGCTCACTGCCCAAGGGGACAGATCACACTAACAAAGAAAAACATAAACGGTAACACCATCAACTTCCTCACAACAGGAACACAGATCAGATACCCGTGGGTTTGGAACATTTCTCCAACCAATGGCTAAGAACACCAGCAGCTAGAATCTAGTCAATCTTCTTCCTGAAGAGAGTCACACTCTCAACATCCCCTGAAAGGAGGCAGGGATGATTCTGCCAACTTGAAAAGGGGAAACAGAGTCCCAGAGTCAGATGCATTTCAAATCTGTGCACTCTCTGACCACGGGTAGAGGCCAGGGGCATCATCTGCCGTCAGTCACACACCTTGTTGGCCAAGAGGAGGCAGGGCACGGGCTCTCCACTGGGCAGTGTGAGCTTGCTGTCCAGATCCTGTTTCCACCGCTGGCTGTTGCTGAACGTAGTGGCGTTGGTAACGTCAAACATAATGACACAGGCAGAGGCATCTCGGTAGTAGAGTCGGGTCATAGAGGTGAAGCGTTCCTGCCCTGGGAGAAGAGAGAATTTTCCAGAAGGTGATCTGGAAAGCAATTCTCACCACCTCTCTGCCACCCTGCCTGCTCTCCCTCTGCTGTGGGAGCCCCTTATTTCCCCCTTCTGATTCTTAGTTTTTCTTTCTAGCTCATAAAGGGAATTATTAAGCCTAGTTACTCCAAGGCAGATTCCGTACCCAGTTTGTTCAAGTCCAAATCACTGTGCTGCCACTTACTAGCTATGTGACTGAGCAAATCACACTCTCTGCTTCAGATTTCTCATCTCTAAAGTGAAGATAAAAGCTTTTATTTTATTTTTTTGGTACTGGGGATCGAACTCAGGACCTTGCACTTGTGAGGCAGGCATGGCGCCACTGAACTAAATCCCTGGCCCCAGTTTTTCTGGAATCTTGTTCCTCACCAAGATAAGCTGAGAACCTAGAAAAAGCGGCCACCCCTTGCTGTGAAAGGAGCACCCACCTATGGTCTGGACAATCTACCACCTTACACTGGAGTCCTTTCACCCACACAGAGTGCTCCTCTTCTATGCAGGGCAAAACAGCCACAAAAAACTTCTGCAAAGTTCTATGTTCTCAGTTCATGTATCTTTAGGGCGGCTCAATCATTCCAGCTTCAGAAAAAAAAAAATATCTGGTTTGGCTGGCCTGCTTTTTTCCCCCGGGAGCATGCTTGTTAAACTAACATTTCTTTCCTTGTTTCTATCTGGCCTTCCCATTTTACCTGCAATATCCCACAGCTGGAGGCGCACCATCTCTGAATCAGACCACTGGAGAACCTTCAGAGCGAAATCCACTGAAAATATAGATATGTTATACTTAACAAAATTTATCTTTAAAAAACCCAGGGACAAACTCAGATTGTGTATACAATTAGAACCCCTGGGACATGCAACTCCAATCTGATTTATTTATTTTTAAGCCCTCAAGAGGCTAAGATGAGCCCGTACTTGTGCATTAAGCATGGGACAGATAATTCATTATTACTCTTTTTTTTTTTTTGTACCAAGGATCGAACTCGGGTCCTTATCTTGCAAGGCAGGTGGTGGAACCACTGAGCTAAATCCCCGGCCCACCAATTTTTTGATATTATCTGTCGCCAAAGCTGGGGAGAGGAGGGTTGCAAGTGATTATGAAAACTTTTTTTCTCAGGTTAAACTTTCTGGGAGATTTGGGGGGGTTTTCTCAGGCAAGGGATGATGAAGAAGTTGGAGGAAATGAGGTAAGTGAGGCTGGTTTTGTATCTTCCACATTCAATCTCACCATTGGTTTCTAATCAAATTGTGTTATGAGAAAAAAACCCTAGGGGATTCCACATCCTCATTAAGGCTGTAGGAATCATCTCAGGCAGGAATGAAATAAATGAAAAAGGTCCCTGAGGATTCCCGGGAAAAGGACACTTCATGGATGATGCCTAAGATCTGGTGGAGTCTGCCAAGTCTGTGCAGGGGCCGAGACTCCCTGAATTAAGGCTAAAGGAGTACCCGGGGGGAAGCTGTCTGCTAAGGACAGAAACAGAATAATTTCCAAGGTTTGGAGATATATTCTTCCACATCTGTGACAGGAATCAAATCCACCGAAAAAAAGTAGCCAAGTCAATTTGTTCTTTACTAATGTAAAACTAGAACTGTAAAAATTGGCAGGACACTTTTAACTCGCTATCTATCCATGAAATACAGACGCTCATATTATTGAGGAGGAAACAGTAGAGTGGTCAGCAGTCTTTGAAAATTATAATTTGCTGGATATTCTTAGACAGGATGTTTTACTGTTAATGTTAATTTTTTAAAAAAACTTTTGGGCCGGGGCTTTTAGCTCAGTGGTGCTGTCATCTGCCTCGCAGGCGCAAGGTGACGAGTTCAATCCCTGGTATTAAAAACAAAACAAAAACAAAAAACTTTCATGGGAACAGCAGCACACATTTTCAGAATGTACCTCAGTACAAGTTTTTTCTTTAAAAAAGCTGTTTTCGTAGACATACATAAAAGTTTAAGTTGCTTTTTCCCATCGTCAGTTCTTTATATCTAAATATTTTCCAGTTAACAAAAAACACGTCACGTCCACCTTTGAAAAAACAGTTCAGGAGTTGAAAGGTCACAGTGAGAAAGAAAGGAATCAATTTTCCTGTCCCCATCCTCCCTCCCTTCCCCAGTGTGAAGAGGGGAAGAGGGGCAAGATGGGTCAGAGAGATAGGATATTTCATCCTTTGAAGAATTCCTCCCATTTTTCAAAAATAATTCCTAGGTTACTTTTTACTGCAGCAATCAATGGACAAAAACCACGCGGGTCATCAGAGGAGCATCGGTAAGGGGCAGGGCCCCAGCCTCAGCTGGCACGGTCCCCAACATTCCCCTGCCCGGCTGCGAAGCCCAATGGCTCGAGCACATCTTCCCTTCCTCCTCTGTCATCTTCACACCTCTGCCCTATCTTTTTCCATAGTGTCGGCTCAGGCTGGGAAATCCCACCCGGGGGTCCCTAGAGAGACAGGCAAGCCGAACGCCCAGCCAGGACTCCTGGGGGAACCCAGACGCCTACTTCCTGACCAGAGGAAGAGCCCAAGGGCGCCCTCCCCGCTGCACTCGGCTCCTGGTGGGCCCCGCCGCAGTCTCACCTCCCACCGTGGACTTGTAGTGTTTGCTAAAGCTGTCCTGGGAATACCGCTGCACCAGCGACGTCTTGCCCACGGCGGCGTCCCCCACCACCAGCACTTTGAACAGGTGATCTCGGCTGCCCATGGCTGGCGGGGTGCGTAGCGGGGAGGCCCGGAAGGCGCTGGTTTAACCCCTGTGGCCGCGGGCCCTCTGCAAGCTGAAGTGAGGCATTCCACCCCTCGCCTGAGAAGCTGCTTTGACGAGAAAGCAAAAAAGGAAACTTTGCGCTCAACCGAGACGCGCTTCCTCCCCGTGCGCTGCGGCCAGGGTGGGGCTCAGGACGTGACTCCAGCCCCCGACATTGGCACCTTCGCCTGCGCCCCGCCCGGCTGCCGAGAGTCTGGACGGGGCATGCATGAGTTTCACCCGCCCGGACTTCCCAGCCCCTGAACTCGAGCCAGCTCATTGACACAACTGGCGATAGACGACGGAAGCCCTCCCCGCCGCACACACCAAATTGTGAGGGGAATCCCAGCGGGTACCTGGGTTCCGGACCCTGTCCAGTCCCAGGCAGTGCTCTCGCACCTCCCTCTACAAGCGTCACGTGCAGGACGGCTTACAGCACTACATTTCCCAGCGTGCCTCGCCGCGAAGAGACCTAGCGAGTGCGGAGATTCGCACGCCAGGCCCTTTGGGAAATGTAGTTTCTTGGCTATTGCTCGTTTAAGAAAACTTGCTCAGTTTCAAGTTTTCAAACTCTTTCAACTATCGGAATCTTATTTTAAAATACTTCTAGGTCAATGCGGTGGGTTAACTGATGGTCATCTTGGCACGCCCAGCTGAACTGAGTGTAGCTCTTGGTGGGGAAGACCCACTTGAGAATTGTTGTCAACTACGTAAGAGGAGAACTGGAGGGGAACATTGCATGCTGTTGATTTTCCCGGAGAAGCTTGGCAGGGCTGTTTTTCCTGATAGGAACTTGGCTGTTCTCATGTCAGAGGAGCTCAGGTCCTTGCTGTCACCACAGATGGCTGCAGCTCTTGTCAGGGGAGCTCTGATCTTCGTCTTGAACATCGCTTCCTGGCTCCAGTGCAGATCCCTCAGCCTGGTGGCACAGGTCCTTCACCCCCCAAAGACTTTCCAGCTTCCACCACTGGCCTTTGGGCCTTCCTGATGCAGATCCTCCATGCAGACTTGCAAGAGACATTACCGTGGGCTCTAGGCCTCTGGCTGGGCTCATGGAGGACATTGCCTTGGGCTCTAGGCCTTCAGCTGGACTTGTTTGGGACATTGCCGTGGGATCCAATTCCTCGGTTGGATTCTTCAGGTCTCTAGTGTGTGCACAGATCTCTTGTGCTCCTCTGCATTTGACTTTTTGGGTAAATATTATAAAATAATCCTATACATTATGTGTCCTGTATTAAATCTACTCCCTTGCAAACCCTGACTGTAACAGTTAGTAAATATCCCTTCCCTGGAGATTTGTTCAACATCATCTCACATGCCTAAATCTGTCCCCATACAATTTTATCTTTCAAGGTTTTATAGAGTAAACATTAAAAATTATTCCACTAACCTATAATCCCAGCACTCTGGAAAGCTGAGGTATGAGGATCACCAAGTTTGAGCCCAGCCTGGGCAGTTAAGTGATTTAATGAGACCTGGTCTCTAAAGGGGCGGGGTGGGGGGTGGATAATGGGGATGTTAGCTCAAGGAAAAGGTCCTGGGTTCAATCCTCAGTACTGAAAAGGAAAAAAAATTTGCCCATTAATAAAAACCTCACCTTCATCTATCTTGCTCCAAGTGAAGTCCATTTTCTGTTCCTTCAAATAGACAAGTCCAGGACTTTGTGAACATAATTTCATATTCTTCCATATGACTCAATACCAAGCAAATTCATGGAAATTTGAGCCAAGAGACCAACCTTTAGAAAAACACACATGCCAAAAGTTGCAACAGTTAATAATTACCAGTGAAGACAGACAAAAAACAGAGAGATAGTTCCTCATTCTCACTTCCACAACCCCTATACTTGGCACTCATATCACTTGAGATGAAAGCCATTTATTGCTGTTGCCCCTGAATAATCATAAAACTCCAGTTTGACAAATAATTTAAAATTTTCAGTCTGTAGTTTTTCTGACTGGCCTGTCCTTTAGGTAGGAGTCAAAGGGACATGAGCTCCATGGCAAGCAAAATGAAGCCTGCTTTCTATGATTTTCCCAAGACCAAAAGAAGAGACTCCCTCAGGGCCAGCCATGGGGAATCAGCTGAGGGCCTGACACTGTGAAATCCTGCCTGGGTCCCCTGGTGGAGAGGCTGCTGCTACGGTCTATGAGGAAAGAACATCACGTGTGCACGACATACTTAGCCCCAAATGTTTGTTTCCCAGGTACAGGAGGTTAGGCCAGCTATTTAACTTTAAAGATCCACTTTTCTTTTTTTTTTTGGTACCAGGGATTGAACTTGGGACCTTGCACTTGCGAGGCAGGCGGCAGAACCACTGAGCTGAATTCCAGGCCCAAGATCCACTTTTTTGAGTTCCTCTTTGACATACTTGGTCACTCCTTGACATTTGTTCCCCACGTGGCTTCCGTGAGGCTGTTCTTTCTTTCCCATCATCCTACTTCCCTGATGATCATTTTTCTTTCAGGTGTCTCTCCGTCCCATCTTTCTCTAAGTATTTCCTAAGCCTTAACTCTTGGTCCTAGAATTGATCATTCAATAAACTCTTCAGTGAATCTTCAAATCTTTCTTTGTATTCAATTTAATTGTTCTTTCTTTATTTTTTTTTAAAAAATTTTTAAAAATTGTTCTTTATTGCCAATCAATTACGGTACATTTGTGCAACTGCCAAAAAGGTACCCTCACCTGGATGTACTTCCATAGTCTCTTCTTGCTACCTCACTGCAAAAACAGCTCCTTTTCTGTTTTTGTATTTTTGTCACTGACCTCTTTTTTTCCCTTCAGGTAGACTTCAGACTTTGAGCATTGCTAACATTTGTTTACTTACATCTGTTTATAGCCCCTTCCCTTTTTATTATTTATTGATTTGTTTGTTTGTTTGTTTGTTTACTTATTTTTTGGTGCTGCGGATCGAACTTGGGTCCTTGCGCTTGCGCAGCAGGCGTCGAAACCACTGAGCTAAATCCCCGGCCCTTTTTATTTATTTTGTGGTACCAGGGATCGAACTCAGGACCTTGCAATTGCAAAGCAGGTTCAGTGCCACTGAGCTAAATCCCTGGTCTGTTCCCTTTTTAGAAAGTCAGTCACCACCACTTACTGATTCTTTCAAAATGTTTCACCTACCCATCCTCTCTGGTCCCTATCCAGTAATGCCTTCCTAGTTTAGGTATCCTCATTTCACTCTGGTGAAGGAGATAAACATGTGTCACCTCAAAATATGCCAAATTGGTATAGTGATTTTTTTTCAAGTTGAAATCACTTGAAGAAATTGTAACTGCAGGAAGTGTCATCTGGTCTGTTTTGTTACATGCAGCATGCCATAAACATCCTTTTGGGAGGGATGTCCTTCACATACCAAGGCTGAAAAATAACCTTGATCACCAGAACTGGTAATTGAGATGGCAGTGGAGCTGACTAAACAAACTCTGACATAATTCTTACCGTCTACTAGATTGTACACTCCCCTCTATGATCTCTTAGCAGCATCCATAGAATTTGTCACCCTAGTCAAGATATCCACTTGTCCTATCATTTCTTCCCAATTGTACTGCTCTTGTCTAAAAAGTATAAAAATATCATGATTTTATCATTTCTTTGGACTTTACTCCATGAAAATTCTCATGTAAATGTAAATTTAATAAAACTTTTATGCTTTTCTTTTGTTAATCAGCTCTTACATAAATGGGGGTTCTAGATCCAGCCAAAGAGTCCAGATAAGAACATAAGGGGTGGTAGAGCGGATCTCTCTCTCTCACACTGGATTACTGCAATTTCCTGTTCACTGGTCTCCCTGATTCATTTTTTCACCCTCTTTAAGTCATCCTATACAATTGTCCAGGATGATTATCCTAAAACATCAATGCTTGTTTCTTTATTGTCAGCCAACTATCTTTTCAAAACTGGCCAACCTCGCTGAGCTTTCTATGCACCTGCCCTGTCCTACTAACTACTTTATCTCATCTAATCTCAAGGGAAGAATTTTTCTCCTCCTATATGATGTGGTTCCTTATTCTCTTTAAAAGCACAATTTCATTTTTGATTTTGTGTCTTTGCCCAAGATGCTTTACCTGTTAGAATAGTCTCCAGGGTTTTTTTTCCCTACACATCTGAATCTTACCACACAAAGTTCTCAAACTTTAACATTCATAAAGATCTTCTAGATTGCTTAGTAAATACAGACATTCTGACTTTGTAAGGTTGGGACTGGGCCCAGGGGAAATCTGCATTTTTGGCAAGTACACATGTGATTGCTAGGCCAGATTCCATGCTGAGAAATGGTGCTTTAAGGCCTGATTTAAATATCAGCTCATTTATAAATATTTTCCTTGTTATTGAAGCTCTTCTTTGTCATCTGTGGCATTCATATTCTGTTTAACTTTTGGTCACTTAATTATGTGAATGATTCACAATTATTTTAACTTATAAGTAACCAGCATGTTGCACAGTAAGTAGAAACTCCAAAATTCCTCTTCATCAATGAGAAGAACACTTTCAGTTTCTCAAATCAGAGAAGTGGGGTGTCAAGACCTACAAGGGAATCTTGCAAGTTTCTGCTGCCCCCACCCCTCAAGTCACAGAACTTCTATCAAAGAAGCAAGCTTAGCATCCCTATCCTGGAGGTGCATCAGCTGCAATTCTAATTGCAATTTACCAGAGAGAGAGAGTTATAAATAAGATAGTGGGAAAACACATTCAGAGAGCCAAACACCTGATTTGCATACACGTGTTTGGAACACAGTGTTTTGGAAGCTGGGGAAAGCCTTGCTCTGTTCCTATCACACTTCCCATGGGTGTCTGACTTTTTATTTCTTTATTTTACATTTTTCTTCTCATTTTTTATTTTTAAAAAATGCAAACCCATAGGAAAGGTAAAAGAAGAGTACAACGTATACCAGTATATCTTCTTGCTGAGTTTATCAATTACTAATATTGTGGGATACCTGTATATGCTTTATATCTTTTTTTTTTTTTTTTTTTT